ACCATGATCAACTAGGTTTCATCTCAGGGATGCAGGGATGGTTCAACATATGAAAATCTATCAGTGTCGTCCACCATATAAACAAACTGAAAAAGAAAAATCACATGATCATATCACTAGATACTGAAAAAGCCTTTGACAAAATCGAACACTGCTTCATGATAAAGGTCTTGGATTGATTAGGAATAACAGGAACATACCTAAACATAATAAAAGCAATATACACTAAGCCAACCACCAACATCAAACTAAATGGAGAGAAACTCAAAGTGATTTCTCTAAAATCAGGAACAAGAAAAGGCTATCCACTCTCTCCACATCTCTTCAATATTGAACTTGAAGTTCTAGTTAGAGGAATAAGACAACAAAAGGAGGTTAAGGGGATACAATTTGGAAAGGGAGAAGTCAAAATTTCACTATTTGCAGATTATATGCTAGAATACACAAGTGACCTGGAAAATTCTACCAGGGAACTCCTACAGCTGATAAACACCTTCAGGAAAGTGGCAGGATACAAGATTAACTCAATGAAACAGCAGCCCTACTATATGCAGACGATAAATGGGCTGAGAAAGAAATCGGAGAAACGTCACCCTTTACACCTGACACAAACAACATAAAATATCTTGGGGTAATGCTAACCAAACAAGTGACCAGTACAGCAAGACCTTTGAGTCTTTAAAGAAAGAAATTAAAGAAGATAACAGAAAATGGAAAGATCTCTCATGCTTTTGGATCAGTAGTATCAACATAGTAAAAAATAGTATCTCACCAAAAGCTATCTACAAATTCAATGCAATCCCCATCAACATACCCACACAATTCTGCACAGACGTAGAAAGAATAATAGTCAAATTTATATGGAAAAACAAAAGATGCGGGATAGCCAAAACAACCTTGTACAATAAAGGAACTTCAGGTGGCATCACCATCCCTGACTTCAAGCTCTATTATAGATCTATAGTCCTGAAAACAGCTTGGTATTAGCACAAAAAAGACAGGTATACTAATGGAATTGATTTGAAAAACCTAATATTAATCCACACACTTATGAACACCTGATTTCTGACAAAGAAGGTAAAACTATACAATGGAATAAAGAAAGCATCTTCAACAAATGGTGCTGGCACAACTGGATGCTGGCATGTAGAAGACTGCAGATAGATCCACGTCTATCGCCATGCACAAAACTTAAGTCCAAATGGATCAAAGACCTCAACATAAATCCAGCCACACTGAACCTCTTAGAAGAGAAAGTGGAAAGTACCCTTGAACAAATTGGTATAGGAGACTGCTTCTTGAACATAAGACCAGTAGCAGAGACACTGAAATTGACAATTAGTAAATGGCACCTCCTGAAACTGAGAAGCTTCTGTAAGGCAAAGGACACAGTCAGCAAGACAAAACGGCAACCCAAAGAATGGGAAAAGATATTCACCAACACCGAATCTGACAGAGGACAGATTTCCAAATTATATAAAGAACTCAAGAAGCTGGTCACCAAAATACCAAATAATCCAAATAAAAAGTGGGGTACAGAACTAAATACAGAATTCTCAATAGAGGAATCTAAAATGGCTGAAAGACACTTAAGAAAGTACTCAACATCCTTCGCCATCAGGGAAACACAAATCAAAAGAACTCTGAGATTCCATCTTACTCCTGTCAGTATATATGAAATCAAAACCACCACTGACAGTTTATGCTCTTGAAGATGTGGAGAGAGGGTAACACTGCTCCATTGCTGGTGGGAGTACAAACTTGTACAGCCACTTTGGAAATCAGTATGGCGATTCCTCAGGAAAATGCAAATCAGCCCACTACAAGATCCAGCAATTCCATTCTTAGGCATATACCCAAAAGAATCACATTCATACATGGAGGATATCTGTTCAACCATGTTCATAGCAGCATTATTTGGAATGGCTAGAATCTGGAAACAACCTAGATGTCCCTCAATTGAAGAATGGATACAGAAAATGTGGTACATTTACACCATGGAGTACTACTCACCGGAAAAAAATGGAATATTGAAATTCAAAGGCAAATAGATGGAACTAAAAGAAACCATTTTGAGTGAGATAACAGTCACAATAAGACAAATATGGTATGTACTCACTCATATATGGATTTTAGACTTAGAGCAAAGGATTACCAGTCTATAGTCCAAACTTTGGGAGAAGCTAGGAAACAAGGAGGACACTAAGATAGACATACATGTTCCCCCAGAGAAGGGTAAAGGGACAAGATCTGAGCAAATTGGAAGGATGGGGTATGAGAGAGGGAGTTAGGAGAAAGAGACGGTGATAGGGGAAGTGCTTCTGTGTATTTGTTTTATTGGATGATAAATAAAGTACTGTTTGGCCAATGAGCCAGCAAGTTAGGCAGGACTAGAAATCAAGGAGGATTCTGGGAAATGTAGTAAAGAAGTGATGATCCAGGCAGGAAATGACAGAGAGATTCATACATAAACAAAGGAAGAAGGAATTGTGCTCTCTCTTCCTCCAGAATCGCCATGTGATCCACCGGCAAGAGAGGGTGCCAGCAGAAGGCATCCTCTATAAGATAAGTCTTATAAAATATACAGATTTATGATAATTAAGAATGATCTAGCAGATGAGAAATCCTAGTCATTGGCCAAGCAGCATTTGTACCTAATATAAGTCTCTGTGTATTATTTTGTCCACCCATGTGGCAGGCAGAACTCAAGTAGGTGGCAGAAAGATTTATCGTAATAGAATGGTGTCAGTGAGTGGGATGACCCTATGCCCTAAGGATCTCAGAGGAAGAGGGAAACTTGCTGCCACAGCCAGCCCTGTCAGGCCGCTGAGAGGCATCAGCTTCCATATGCTCGGGCTGTCCAGGCGCTCTTGGGGGTTGGACTCAGCACTCCCGAGATAATAAAGACAGATCCAGATAAAGAAAAACCTCTAAAGGTTTACACTGCATTTAAAATATATGTAGGCTTGTGAGAGAAAAAGTAACAGGAGGAAATAGAGTAGCTGGGGGTGCTGGCACACACCTTTAATCCCAGCACTCCAAAAGCAGAGGCAGGCGGGTTTCCACCCTGTCTCTGGAAAAAAGAAACAAAAGGAAGTAAAAATAGAATAATAGAAAAGCCACCTAAAGATGAAAAATACACAGTGTCTGGATATTGTATGCTATATTGATTTTAAATTGTTTGATTGCCGAGGAAAGAGTTACTGCTACTAAAATACATTTGATTATAAATGCTGCTAAATTAATCCAACTTATACATTTTAAAAATGCTTTGACTTCAAAATTTAAGTCTAAGGACAGGATGCTTGGGAAAAAAGTTTTTGCTTGTGTTTCCACAGAAAATGAAAAGCTGTAGATTCCTTCCAGACAAATATGGTTTGATCAAGCAAGACCCCCTGAAGCAGTGACCCAATAGATCCTACATCCAAAACAGGTGAGATGGTGCAGCCTTGCAGACTACAAAAACAAGGACTTGGTCAGATTTCTATGTTTTATCATGATCTTCATAGTATGGACATCACTCACAATCAGCAGGAAGCAATTTGGAATGAACCACATCCAAATTCCCAAATATTGTTTATTAATGATTGTTTTCATTTAAACGGAGTTGGTTATAAATGGTAATGAACATAGTCAATCTCTTTTTAAAGAAAAAAAGGGGGAATAGGATATAGGAATTAATACTTTGCATTGGTATGGATTTTCATTTATTGATACAACTTTAAAGTCAATTTTGTGATATGTATAGGTCTCCTCTTACTTAGGTATTATGTTTATACATATCTTTTAAAATGATATGCATAATTAAATAAGGCTATATAGCCACCTATAATAGGCAGGACATATAATTGGGTTAGTTAGGTTTTCTAGATATACAATGAATGTATTTGATATGGATAGGTATTCTTCAAACCTTTCAAAGACCAAAAGAATACATGGCATTTAAATGGTGTAGGGTTTTTCTTGCCAGTGAGACACAACTGCTCCTGGCACATCAATTACGTACGAGAAAGTAGGATGGGCATCAAAGAAACTCGTTATGGAGTTTGCTTTCAACATGGCAAGATTAGCCATTTGAGCAAGAAACTGCTCTTGCTTGGTCTGTTTGTTGCTGTATAAACTGGACATGCAGGACCCACAAGAAAGTGACTGCTGAACTTACAAAACAAGACAGTACTGAAGGGTTCCTGTTAAAATGGCGAAGTGTGCCAGACACACTGTGGTCTATAGGCTGAAGATGGATGCCCCAATGCTACAGAGGAATTTGGGTGACTGTCCAGGTAGCGAGATGTCTCTGTCAATTTTAGAGTTTATATAGTATCCTCCTGTGTTTTTTGACAGAGTTTGAGACAGATAGTTATGGTTATAGTTTTCTTCAGTTATTATAAAAGATAAGTTATCCTTCTTTTTATTTAGACAGAAAAGAGTAGATGATGGGGGAAGTTTCTTTCTGTCTTATTGGATGATAAATAAAGTACTATTTTGCCAATGAGCCAGCAAGTTAGTCAGGACTAGGAGTCAAGGAGGATTCTGGGAAATGTAGTAAAGAAGTGATGATCCAGGAAGGAAATTACATAGCAGGGAGACTCATACATAAACAAGGGAAGAAGGAAATGGACCCCTTCTCTCTTCCTCCAGTGTCGCCATGTGATCCACCAGCAAGAGAGGGCGCCAGCAGAAGGCATCGCCTATGAGATAAGTCTTATAAAATATATAGATTTATGATAATTAAGACTGAGCTAGGAGATGAGAAATCCTTGTCACTGGTCAAGCAGCATTTGTACCTAATATAAGTCTCTGTGTATTATTTTGTCCACCCATGTGGCAGGCAGAAATAAATCGGGTGGCGTAAAGATTTATTGTAATAAGACCGGGAGAAGAGGATGGGAGAGGAGGACATGAGGGAGCAGGAAGATTGAGTTGGAGAAGAATAAAGGAGTACAAGAAAAGAGATACTATAATAGAAGGAGCCATTATAGGTTTAAAGAGAAATCTGGCACTAGAAAAATGTTCAGAGATCTACAAGAATGACCCCAACTAACATCTAAGCAATAGTGGAGAGGTCACCTTAAATACCCTTCCAAGATGAGATTGATGTCTACCTTATATGCCATCTTAAAACCTTCATACAATGGTTGATCAAAGAAGAAGTAGACACCCACAGCAAAACACTGAGCTGAACTCTTAGAATCTAGTTGCAGAGAGGGAGGAGTAATGAGCGGTCAGTACTAAGCTGGGGAAATCCACAGAAACAGCTGATCTGAACAAGGGGGAGCTCAAGGACCCCAGCCTGATGGGTAACCAGCATAAGGCCCAGACCACCTGATTGTGGGTGTCAGTTAGGAGGCTTGGGCAATCTATGGGGCTTCTGGCAGTGGTTCAGTATTTATCCCTAGTATATGAGTGGACTTTGTGAGCCCATTTCACATAAAGGGATACTATCTCATCCTAGACACACATGGGAGGGTCTAGGCCCTGCTCCAAATGATGTGACAGACTTTGAAGATACCCCATGGAAGGCCTCACCCTCCCTGGGGAGCAGAAACTGGATGGGATAGGGGGTTGTTGGTGGGCAGGGGAGTTAAGGGAGGGATAGAGAAATGGGAATGACATGTAAATCATGCTTGTTTTTAATTTAAATTTTAAAAAAATGAAAAAACAAAGAAGTAGCCTATTTAAAAACAGCTGGGAAAAATTTAAGTTTTTCTTTTACAATAGGTAAAAATATCTTACATTTCTCTTTTCTAGTTTACATCAAACAGTATGTTTCATTTAATGTGCAAATCTATGCACAACTTGTCATGCTATTAACATTATCAGTATAGGCATTGCTATCATAATATCTTACATTAAGTATTATAGTATCAAGGTTCTTTCTATACATCCTTTCCTAGTAGTGTTTGACATCATGCATACTGCATATTTCCTTGATATTTTTACATTAACACAAAACTACGAAACTTGTTTTAGAAAATGGTGTCAAATCTTTAGCTATTTTAACAGCTCAAAATAGACTAAACAAAAATCTACTATTTATCACAAGAAAAAAATTAAAGAAAAAACAAAATAAAAGATTTTCTCCTACAGTCTAAATGTGTAATTTGATCAAAGAAAAGGACTGGAATTTTCTGGGGCAAGGATCTATATAAAATGGGAGTTTCACTGTGAACTTTTTATTTTATGAATCATTTTTTGGCTGTATCTTGACTATATAATGTGGTTGAGCTTTTCTGCCTCTGGGCTTTATTTATTTATTTATCATCACTCTACTGAAGGGCCATGGATTCTCATCATGCATTTTTTAATACTATGGCTGAGGCATTTTCACATTCAGTACTATAATAAACATTTTATTATTGAACTCAGTATGTTCTTTCCTCTAAAGGTACCTAGAGTTATGTGTCACTAAGAATAAGAATGTATTCTTTGTGGTTCAGAAAGTTTTATTTACTACAGTGCAAGATGCCAGCATTACAAAATAAGCTATCATATAAGACATTGACAGGAAAAGTCAATATGCACTCATCCAGTTTGTGCGCTATAATTTTTGTGTTGTTATTCACGGTTGGGACAGGTGGGGTATGATAACTACAATATGTTTTCCTTTAATCGGCACCTCATTCTACTTATACTTCAAAGGCAATTTTAGGGTTGGTAAATGAAAGAAATATAACACAATGAAAGGCCAACTGTTTTGTTGTCATTCTTCCAGAGTTTTATCCCAATGACAATGTTGCCATTGTTTCTTTCTATAATTAGTGAATTCATTCATTTCTTTCTTTCTTTCTTTCTTTCTTTCTTTCTTTCTTTCTTTCTTTCTTCCTTTCTAAGGCTATAGAGGGATCATGATTGTAATGTTCTCAGTTATTTCTAACATTTCTTCAAAAATATCTGTTCCATGATTTTGAGATCTTTCATATTTTATGCTTGTTATAAGTTACATTAATACATAGCCTGGGTTTAATATTATAGTTTGATGGTAAAGTGCTTTGCTTAGTATGCCTGGAGTTCAACCTTCATTGTGTATGTGTGTATGTGCACATGTGTAAGCTTAGTATAGCATATAGAGATTGTACATAGTTAAAAGACAAATTGAATATACATTGTAGCTGAATATTTAGGAGATTGTTCTATTTCCCATCTATCTTCTTTTGTTCTAAAAGTAACAAAAGTCTGGCCCTGGGTCCATTTAGATTTTACATCTTCAAACTATTTCAGACTTAAACAGCCACAGGTCATAGAAAATGTTTCTTTCAACTATTGTAATCTCATTTTAACATGCAGTGTTAACTATACAAGTGTTTCTCAACCTTTCTAATGCTTCAGCCCTTTAATATAGTTCTTCATGTTGTAGTATTCCCCAATCATAAAATTACTTCGTTGCTACTTCATAACTGTAATTTGGCTGCTGTTATAAATCATGATGTAAATATCTGCTATGCAAATATCTGATATGTGACCCCTGTGAAAGGGTCTTTCAACCTCCAAAGGGATTTTACCCACAGTTTGAAAACCACTGAACTCTTCTAACAAAGGTTTTATTTTCTTTATATTTCCAATAATGAATAGAGAACAATTTATCCTAAAACATTCCTTCCTCTTTGATAGTATGGTCACTTCACTGACAACTAGATCCTCTATGTATATTCTGTATTCACCAATCTGGTTTATGTATTTTCCTTTCCAAGGATACTGTTTCTCTGATGCATATTCCAGTGCTTCCATGTTCAGTGCAGAGATCTTCCCATCTAGGTAATTCATTTAATAACTAGTGACATCAGACAATAAACATTACATATTTTTCACCGGGAATTTACATAGTGACCACCAATGACAGATCATTTTCCTGTGTTCATTTCATTATATTATAGTAGGTTATATAAGGCAATTTCTATGACAGCATAGAATTTACCTTCAGCATATTCTCCCCATACCTGCCACCCTCTCCTTTCTTGCCCATCCCCACTCCTATTAATTTTCCTTTTCTCCATCAACAATTTCATTTGTACTTTCATATCATCTGTAAACAGGATTTTATGCATTGTTGTAGTCACTGCTCTATTGCCATGAAGAGACACCAAGACCAAGGCAACTCTTGTAAAAGAAAGAATTTAATTGAGGGCTTGTTTATAGTTTCACAGGGTTGGTCTATTATCACCATAGTGGAAAAGCAAACAGGCATGACACTGTAATAGTGGCTGAGAGCTTTTTGCCCTGATCCACAGGCATCAGGCAGAGTGAGAAAGACTGGGCCTGATGTGGACTTCCCAGTGCCACATCTACTTCAGCAAGGACACACCTACTCCAACAAAGACACACCTCCCAATCCTTCTAATCTATCTCAAGTTGTTCACCAATTAATGACCCACCATTCAAATATATGAGCCTGTGAGGGACATTTTCATTGAAACAATTACATGTATCTATATAAAGTCTATGACCCACTCATGAAAGAAAAGATATATTACTCTTTCTGAGACTGACTTTATCTAATCTCCATTTGTATTCATTTTCTTGCAAACAAGCATTTCATTCCAAAATGACTAGAATCTCAGGCAGATGATCTGAATGGCTAGAGAAGTCTGGAATAGTTCAGTTGGGCTCTTCTACCTTAGCTATTGTCTTTGATTCTCAAGTGTGTCTGATTCGTCATAATGCATCTGCTGATGCAGAAACCATAAGGTGGCTTCAGTATTCATATGCTTGATGTCTGCAACTTGGATGAGTGGAACACTGAGGGTGACCCAACATCTTTCCAGCCAGTCTCTTTACATGGCTAATTTGGACCTTATTGACAGCATTAAAGTCTCAGGGTTCTCAGATTCATTTCAAGGTAGCAACCTTCTTTCAGAGCACTAAGTGAAATGGCAAATGTATGCTGTCAAAAGCATGTATGTTTCTAATACACATGGTCTATTTTCTGGGTATATCTCACTAAGTAGCTCATATTGGTCTTGAATTCTTAGCAAACCAGGCACAGTTTGAACTTGCAATCCTGACTTAGCCTTTGGAGCATTTTGGTATTCAAGTTTACTCTGTCAGGATGGGCTGAATATGTTCTTAAAATAAATATGAACCATTACTAAAAATTTAGAGAAATTTCAATAGAAAAATGAGTGAGAAAAATGAATGAATAGCTCATAAAGCATGATTATATAATAAACAATAAACTTATAAAATAACATCTACGATAGAGAGATGAGGAAAAGGTAAGCTGCTGTTTTCAATTTTATTTTTCCACTGCTCAAACACTTTCAGTTTCCATGAAGCCAGGCTGCATCTTGAAAATATGTATTGTTTTGTGATTCTCCACATAACCCTGACTGTTTTGCTTCTCTGGGCTAACTAAATCTGGCAAGCAGCAGGGCCTGGGAAGAAAGCAAGAATGAGCCTTCTGCTACTCCCTGGCTTTGTCTTATTTCATGTTGTATCATCTATGCAAAAATAGCTTTGGCTGTCTAGTATGTGTTCATCAATTCAATAGTAAATTTGGGTTGATTTCGGAAAGCTGTGCTGTGTTTACTCACTTGCTTTCTAAAACATATATCTTACATGCAGGAATCAGACTGCTGGTTCTTATCTTAGCTAGCTAGTTCCAGCTGAGGAGTGTGAAACTCTTTTCACAAATTCCTCCCCAGTCACTGAAAACCTATTGTAATACTTTATCACATGGATTTTCTTTCACTGAAAGAAATTCATTGCTCACTATGTTTAATTTGCAAATACAAAATTATGCAATATATATATATATATATATATATATCAACTCTGAATCATCATACAACAAAGCAAATAAATATCCTTTTACCCCTAGTTTATTTTTCTTAAAATTTACTAATAAAATTAAATTAAACTGAGTCATAAGAAACATCACACAAGACATTTTTCAAAGAAAAAATTGTTCTTTACATCCTAGCAATAGTAAATTACTAAATACAAAGAAAGAATACATAGTTGCTCACCATTGTTTCTTTCGTCTAATCTTTTTCTCAGTATAGACTAAAACGGAAAGATTATTCAATGTAAATGTTAGACTGGTAGAAATACCATCCTTTTTGTTAGAGACTCCAAACTATATTGACATGCCCAGTAGGATGGCTATTTCTGTATAGAAATTTATTTCCAAACCACACACACACACACACACACACACACACACACACACACACAGAGTTTCTTAACAGCAAAGATAGAATGCTTCCATAAATGGCTTTGTAATAATTATTTCTTTTGGATTTGTCTGATTTTAGTTATTTTAACCAGTTCTACCACATTAGATAATTGAGACATAATTCTTCACCTGCTGTCAAATGTGCTTGGCCTCTGAATAAGACTGCAGATTTGAGATCATGAGCTTTGAAGTTAGAGTAACTGGGTTTAAATTCCAAGTCAGTCGTGTTGGGTGATGAATAAGTTATTTTTCCTTTGCACACAACCAGTTTTCTCACATACAAGCTGAGATAAAGGATAATTCCTTTTTCTCATACATAGTGTGTGCTCAGAAAGTGTTATTTATTATTTATTCCAATATTTTAATTTCTTATAAAGAATTGATCCATCCATTGTGATAGTGAGACCTATATAATGCATTGATGCTAAAACAGTTAGCAATTTAATGCAAATGAATTGCTAGGATGGAAAAGGTTGCAAATTATCAAAGGTTTTGAATTTTACCCTAATTGAAAGCTAGTGGGTTGGCTAATTTTGTGTCAACTTGACACAAGGTAAAGTAATCTGAGAAGAGGAAAACTTGATTGAAAAATGCTTCTATAAGATCAGCTATTGGCAAGCATACAGGACATTTTCTTAATTAGTGATTGATGGAGGAATTAATCCATATACATCCCATTATGCCAGTGACCCTGCATACTCTAAGTAAGCTAAGTAAGACATAAGAAGCAAGTCAATAACCAACATTCATTCATGGTTTCTGCATCAGCTCCTGCCTCCAGGATCATACCCTGTTTGAGTTCCTGCCTGACTTCCTTTAACGATGAATAGTGATGAATGTATGTCTAATAAACCATTTCCTCCTTAAGTTGCTTTGATCATAGTATTTCATCACAATAGTAATCCTAACTAGAACAGCTAGTACAGTAATGGCTAGTTTGTTTTCATGGACCTTGATATTAACAGCCTTCTGAATCAGGGCAAAGGACGTTGTTACTTTTACAAAGCAAGTGTATGAATATTATGTCTCTATTAACAATCTTTGCCATCTAAAGACTCCTTGGAAGAAGATGGTGTAATCGAAATGAATGTGCCACACATAGTGGGCTTGCAACAGAAAAACTAAAACTTATCCTTACTCATTATTTTTCCTAAGGTAGCCTCCAAGTCTTGAATTCAAGCAATCCTCTTAGCTGAACCTTCTATAGAGCTAGAACTATAGGTGACACATTACCTCACTTAGCTTTTTCTTCATTCTTCTTAACCATGAAAGAAGATCTCTTCTCCCTTAGCAGGTAATGCCATTTTTAGTGTCCAATGTCATTTGATATATAAATACGTTTTAAGAAATTCCAGAACAAAACATATCAATGTCTATACTTAGAAGATGTAGAGAATGTGAAAGAAACTAGAAATGTCTCTGAAAACAGAGGATTACAATTTGAAAAGGAATATAGTAAAGAGGAGGTAATGAAATGGGATAGTAGAAGAAGTCCTTTCTTTATCTGTACGCTAAAAGTGAACATGTCCAATAAAACAGGTTCCATGCTAACCAACATATGTACTCTTCTTTCCATGTCTTCTTTGTCATTGCTTTATTCAATCCAATATTGGACCTAGGGATGTAGCACCATGGTAACATGTTTGCCTATCACGAATGTGCCTTGGATTCAGTATCCATTACTAAAAAAGCAAACAAATAACTCTAATCAGTAAAGCACTGTGTGAAATTTATCCATACTATTGTATACATTTTTGTTCATTTTAATTGGTATGCAATATTGCATTATGTGACAACACTGCAATTTGGCTACTTGACAAACTGTATTGATATATACTTACGTACATTCTGGCACTGACATATTACAAATATTTTCACTATGAAGCCTTTAATACACCCATTTCAGTAAATTAATATGTAGTTTTCTATTGGGTATTGCTGTGGTACTGTTTTACTCCCATCTTCCAATCCAATCCATATTCTTCCTCTCAGGCCTAAGGAAGTTTACTTGTCCCTCTACCATGTAGGGACACAAGGAGAAGTCATGCTGATGAACAAGAAAACAAGGCTGGCCTTGTTAGACACCAAATATGCTAACACCTTGACCAGGGACTGCTAAGCCTCTAGAAATGGGAAGAAGAAATGCCTGTTGTTTATAAGTCACTTTATTCATAGTGCTTTGCCATAAGCTGTCTAAAAGAGTGTGAAAATATGAGAACTGCTGGGCTTAAAAATATAATTTTGAAAGGGCTAAAATGTGCTAATACTAAATCTTGATTTAAAATAATTTCTCTAGACTCTTTATTATTAACTTCCAAAGAGTACATTTAGAGAAGCTTTAAGCAACATGCCACTCTGTGGTCATGATTAAAATAACAGAGTATGTTTAGAGCCAGCTAAACTAGATAGCTTCATCTGCCCACATATGAAGTTTAAATTAAAGACATACTCATATTAAGACTCCTGCACTTTATTGGGAAGTGCTATTCACATTTACTGAGAAACAAGTAAGGAACCAGGGCAGACTCGAGATCTTTATGATATACAAAGAGTCAGACAAAAGAGAAATGAAGGAAAATACCTGTGACACAAAGTTCCTGTCATGCTGGAATTGGAGCTTTGGAAAAAACTCAATGTGAATATTTTCTATACATATGGAATATGCAGTTGCCTAGGTAAGCAAATAAAATGGTGTGAAAACAGTTAGTTGACTGCTTAGATTCACAGAACCAAGGAAACACGGCAAGTTAAAGCATTAATCCATAAAAGCAATTCCCTCAAAATAAAATTCTATCTGGCAGACTGCAAAGAAATCAGGAAGTTTGAGAGTTAGAGCCAAATCTAGCACTGCACAGAAACATGAAAAGCAAATGAGGAAGCCATAAAAGGTAGAAACCAGGCCAGGTCTCTAAGGAGAATGCTTCACAAAAATCCCAAGCCACACACATTACTTTACAGAACAAATTCAGGACACAGGAATCCGAAGCAGAAAAGTAATGCCATTTGCAAAAGATACTGAAAAGGTTTTTTTTTTTTTTTTTTTTTTTTTTTTGTTTTTTTGAGACAGGGTTTCTCTGTGCCTTTGGAGGCTGTCCTGGAACTAGCTCTTGTAGACCAGGCTGGTCTCAAACTCACAGAGATCTGCCTGCCTTTGCCTCCCGAGTGCTGGGATTAAAGGCCTGCGCCACCACCGCCCGGCAACACTGGAAAGTTTTAAGATGCCATTTTGTAAATATACTGGTTGGGGACACAACCCTCTGGAAAAAGATTAAGGGAGGAAAGTGATAAGTTGTTAGTCAGTACCAAGAGCAAATGGATCACATTGATGGAATTGAGTGGAGGATCTAAAAAACTACTACTTCATTAGTTTCTTTCTTAAGTTTCAATATTTGCTCAATACCTCATCATATTTTCTTCTTGGTTGGAAAGAAGACATGAAGGAATAATCTCACTAGAAGCAGTGGTGTTCACTTTGGAATATTAGATGAGTGATCGGCTCAGATAACAGAAACTTCCACATGAGCTGGTAGAGAACAGGACACAGCCAAGTCATGTGACCAGTCTTCCAGGATCATACAAACAATTGTGGAGTTAGAAAGTGAGATATTTTTCAGTGCATACTTTAAAGAATCACACAGTAATTTAAAAATAATTTCTTATTTAAAATATAATTTATATTTTCCATGAGTTTTCCATAAGCTTGAATCATGCTTACTCTTATAGCAGACTCAGCACCACATATGAATCTGTTAGAAATAGAAAATACTGGCTAGGGACCAGCAATCAGAGTTCCAATAAGACCACTAAGGGATTCTGATTTGAGACTCACATCATTCATAAAGAATTGAGAAGAAAAAGTGCAACACCAATTATCTGGTCAGTTATACCTACCTTTTACTAGAGAGGTATTTTTTTTTCCTTTTTTAATTTGAATTAGAAACAAGATTGTTTTACATGTCAATTCCAGTTCCCTCTCCCACCCCTCATCCCCTACAACCCCCCAACTAAAACCCTACCTATCATATATCCTTTCTG